TCGGGGTGTATCCTGACAGTACTACCTACAATAACCATGTGAAATGGAGCTTTTCCAGAGCGTCACAAAGCCTATATTTAATAATGTGTTGTATTTGTAATACCTTCCATCCGCTGGATTTCACAAGTGCTCTAATCCTCTCAACTGGTCTTTTGGTAGAGCAAAGATGCCAGTTTTACTGACAAAGGAGCTGGAAAGCAGACTTTTGTGGGTTGGTTTGTTTGTTTTCTTTTCCCAATAACAATGAAATAAAAGATGAATCTAGAGTCTTACAGTTATTGTTCTCACCATTGCTACTGTGTTTTCTGCATGCTGAATGCTGGATGTTGTACAGAACGAGTGTAAGACACTGTGTGGTGAGAAGGCTGTGGCCTAAATTGGTTCAGTCCTGCAGTAAATTCTGGGGTAGGCTTCTCTTGAAACACTGCAGATCTTTTTCTACCTCTGTGCTCTAAGCACTTCTGGGCTAATAGCACTTTGAGCTTACCAAGAAGATCCAAGAGGGATGATGCTGTAGGAGGGAAGCGATGATAGTTTTCTTAGCTTTAACTACAAAATTAACGTCACCCCTGAGGAGCTGAGTTGCCAAAATGAGCAGAGCAGATTACAGGCCAGTTCTGGAGGAGATGCTGTAGCCATCAGCTCTGAGCCTCTGGCCCAGCTTGGCATCTGTGTGGCTGTATGTAGCTTTGATATCTTGTCTCTAAGAGGGAGGGAGGGAAGGGAGTAGATTCACAGCTGCATCACCACCTACTTCTCAATTCAAATACGGTGGTACTCATAGGAAATTATGAGTACTTGCAGCTGCTGCCCTTCCTCCATGGGGAAAGCATTAATCTAAATGTTGCAGGTACTTATTACCACATTTCCACCATGCTGTGGGATTCCACATGCTTTTCAGGACAGTTGTTGCCGTCTGTGGCGTGGCTTGGGTGGGTCACGGTAGATTTCAAGAGGGGTTGATCTGAAGATCCTGTGGAGAGGAGCAGAACAGGTCTGGTGGTTCCCTGGGTCTAACACCCACCCCATCTGGCCTTGCATGCACTTCAAGGCATGGGACAGGGAGGGAATGGAGCATTGCCCACAGAGCAGGCATATTTAAATCCCCTTTTACAGTACTGGTAGAGGTGCTGTGGAGAGATGAGTGCCAGCAAGAGACTTCTCCCCCAGGGAGTGCAGTAAGAAGCGAGCAGGATAAGGTGGTCTCCCCCTCGCCTGGACACGCTGCATAACTGCCCAAGGAGATGGGGGCCCACAGGGGCTGGCTTGGCAGGGCTGGGGGCAGGCTGGTGGCCCCAGGGGGGTGGCTGGGAGCTGCTGCGACTGACACTCTGGAGGCCTCATCCTGGCACCCAGGTCCTGCTTGAGTGAGTGATGCTCAGTGGCAGAGATGGCGTGGGAAGGTTTCTTCTGAAGCACTGGTGGAAGAGCCTTAGACCCAAAAGAGGCTGTTTTGTGATAAGTGATAAGAGAGAGAAGGATTAATTACAATATCTAGATCAAATACAGAGCAAAGGGGTTATTAGTTTGCTCTGAATTGGATCCCAGCTACAGTTTATTTAAACAATGGTCCTGCAAGTTGTGTTTGTCTTGGACAGCGGTTCGGTTTACTGTGGTGCTGCTCGTTAACAATGCATGCGGTGTGCTGGCTGCTGTAGGAATGTGGTCCTGTCCTGGAGGATTTCCAATATAGCATCATAGGAAAGAGTTGTGCAGGAGTTGGGTTAAACATGGCTTTTTCTGATGTTACAAGAATAACGATCAGCTTCAATGTTTGAAGCACCTTCTGTCACAGCATAGATAGGACCTTTCTCCTTAGGTTGTGTCCCTGGATTGATGAATCTGTGCTTTGGACTGTTGATTCTGCAAGTTTAGTACAAGTCGTGGGCTTGTGAAGAAAAGCTTTCCCCAGTACCACCCAGCAGCCTCTGGGAAGGCCTCCAAGAGCATTACTTGCAGTGTTGCAGCTTTTCCTGAAGATGCTGTGCCTGTCACCTTGGTGTGGAGATGACTGAGTAAAGTCTCTGATACTCCTGCAGGCCTCTTTCTGTTGGTGTTTCTGCAAACGTCTTGTGTTGCTCTTTGTGTCTAGCTCTCTGCTTTCTATGTCCTCTTTGCCCACCTCTCATAATAAGAGTGTTATTGAAGGATTTTTGGATGTTAATCTTCACTCCTGGTTTCTGAGGAGTTCTAACAGCCTTTCCTCTCTTGCAGAGTGTTTACCATGCCTCTGGGAACGTTCCTCCTTCCTCTTCTCTGTTTCTTGGGAGCAGCAATTCCACAGGGACTGCAGTATGTCACGTTCTCGCGCAATGCTACGAAATTCCTTCACCTGTCTATGGACTTGGAATCCGAGACCATTTACTTGGGAGCCACCAACTTTCTGTTTCAGCTGACGTCTGACCTGCTGATGAAGAACATGGTTCAGACTGGGCCAGTTCTGGACAGTAAAGATTGCCTCCCCCCGGTCTCAAAGCTGGAGTGCCCTCAGGCACACCACACCGACAATCACAACAAGCTGCTGCTGGTGAACACGGTGCAGAAGGAGCTCATTGTGTGTGGCAGCGTGCACCAGGGAATCTGTGAGAAGAGGAGCCTCACATCCATCGACCATGTCCTCTTCCGACCAGAGAGCCCTGGTGACACTCAGTACGTTGCTGCCAATGATCCCAATATCACCACTGTGGGACTCATAGCCTACTCAAAGGACGAGGTGCCCTTGCTGTTTGTGGGACGAGGGTACACTAGCCGAGGAGTTGGAGGAGGGATTCCTCCCATCACTACCCGAAATCTCAGGGCCCACGGCGGGGATGTTCAAGCAACAGATTCTCACTCCATTTTCTCCTATGAAGAAACGGCAAAACTGGCTGTGGGCCGGCTCTCTGAGTACAACCACCATTTCATTAAGTCCTTCACTTACCGCTCAAGTGTCTATTTCCTATTCTACCGTCGGGACCTCAAGTCTCAATCACGTGAGTACAAGACCTACATCTCGCGAATCTGCCTGGATGACTCTCATTATTACTCGTACGTGGAGTTACCTCTGCTCTGCCAGAGCAAAGCCAATACGTACAGCCTCCTGCAAGCAGCCTATGTCACCCAGCCAGGAGAAGGCCTGGCCCAGGGGCAGCTGGACACCGAGGGAGAAGTGCTGTTTGCAGCCTTCTCTGCCTGGCAGGCTTCTTCTGGCAAACTGAGCGAGGAGTCTGCGCTCTGTGTCTACGCAATGGAGGAGGTGGATCGCCTGACCAACTGGACTAGGGATGTTTGCTACATGAGAGATGGGAAGTCAGAAGAAGGGACCGAAGTGGCGTATATTGAATACGATGTCAGTTCCAACTGTGTCCAGCTGCCAGCGGTAAGTGGCTTTGCACCTTTGCCAGGGTAAAGAGTAGTCTGCAGCGTGTTCTTGTGTTACTTTGTGTTCCTGAAGTCAGCCCGTTTCCCACAGATGGGTGCTGAAATCTGTTTGGGTTAAAAACCTTTGGGCTCAGGCTGTTTCTTTGCTACTGCTGCAATGCGATGCAAGAACCGTTGTGTCCTGTTTAAGTACAGTCTGTCTCATTGCTGCTGCAGCTCTCTGCCCCACATGGGCAGGTTTCCTTGCACAGGGAGATGGACCGTGTGGCACTGGGGAGGGCATCTGGTGTGACCTGGCCCTGAGGCCTCTCTCATGGCAATACCAAGCAAGAGCGCTGAAGCTGCAGTTCAGGTTGTTCTTTATTATTATTTATTATTATTATGTAATTTTGTGTCCTGGTCTGCACTGCAGGGAGGGAGAGGAGTATGTGCGTGTGCGCCTGTGTGTTGGGAAGGGAATTTAAGGGGTGTGCTCTGTCCCCGTTGCTTATGGTGAGGTGCATCTCACAATGTTTTCCTGCAAGGGCACCCAGGAACAAAAAAAGAACATAGCAAAAACAAGTGTCAACAAAATCCTAATTTCCTATAGACTGCATTAGTCCTGCAGAATTTTGTGCCCAAGGAAGACCTTTTCCTGATCTGGCTGCTCTTTGTCTCCAGAGCTGTAAGAGGTGACAATCCTTTAAATTCTATGACAAAGGCATGATGGGATGTTGCAGGATAAAAATGTGACCTGAAGTGGCTGTGACCCTGAATCCTTGCAGCCAGGCTGAATCTGTCAGCCACATTGGCTGGTGCTGCAATATCGGGGACGGTGACACCAACGCAGAGCAGCAGCGTTCTCCTGGGGCGGTGCTGGATGCAGTGTCCCGGCATTGAGGCTCTGTGGTTGTGAGTAGCCTGTTTTCACCGAGGGCGTTGCTAGTCCTTAGCAGAACAGCATGTTATCTCGTGTCTTCCTTCTACAGAACAGGCTGTCCAGATAATTGCCTCTTCCTAGCCTTGTGCTGCAAAGTGGTACCACAGAGCTTTGGAAGTCTCTGGGTTTGGATGTGTGGTGCAAAACCAGTTTTAAACTTATGATTTTCCTTTCAGTAGCTAAAGCTGACTGTAGAATACTTGTGGGACAAGGGAAGGGTAAAGAGCAGACTTGGAGCAGGGCAAATGCAAGGTCAGGAGGAGTGTGTAAGAGTTGGGAAGCAAGAGACTGCCCAGCTTGATGTCCTGCTTTCTTTGCATTTCTTAGCCATGCTCCGTGTGTCCTTTGTGGGGCTGCATGAAGGAATTGCCACAGGTGATTTTTAGGGCAGCTTGAGAGAGTTAAATGTCAAACTGGTGTGAGCACTTTAGAAAAATCCTTCATTCAAAGTGATGTAGAGTTCCCCTGTACCATTTGATCCAGTGGAGAAGTGGGTGCACTGAGTGGGAGAAGGCTGGTCTCTGCTATGCGATTCCTGGCGCGTGATCCCCGGGTCCCAGCTGCGCGGTTTGGCACTAGTGGGCTGACTAAAGTATGGCATCTTATTAACAAGTGTGTCCAATGATATGTAAATGTCCTAACAAACTTTACCCTGCACCATTCAGTACATGGTAGCGGTTGTCGTTAAGATTGCGTCTAACAACACGTAAGGGTCTGTGCCAGCTCAGTGCTGAGTGGAAGCGGCTGTGAGTGAACATTTTATGCAGAAACAGTTTTAACTCGGTTTCAATGGTGGCAGCTTGTGCTGTATGTAAGGATAATGCTAATTAATTTCATGTTTTTCTGCCTCCAAAGCAGCCTGTGTGCAAGGTATGCCCTTTTCCCTAGTTAGCACTGCCTCTGATTTTTAGCCCATCAGAAGCGGCTAAGATGAAGTTTCACCGTTCAATACAATCTCTTAAACTGGAAAAAAAATGCTAGTTTTTATAAGAATTTCAGAACCAGTTCATTTGTTCAGTTTGCTGGAGATCCATTAGTCTTGAGATGCAGGAGACTGCGTAGATGCCGTTAGTGACTTGATAATTGGAAGTGTGAAACATGTTTCTGCAAGGCTTGGGAAGGCTGCATATCTTCTGTGGGTGTAGTTTTCGAGGTATGTAACTTGTCCTTTTGCACCGAGCTTTCAGTCCTCTTCATGCATAGACATAGATTTGTCCTCTTGTTGCTTCCTACCTGTGCAATGTAGGAAGCACGCACCAGAATTCACGGCAGCAGCTTCATCCAAACTTGCCGCATCCCAGTAGGACACGGGATGATCCCTAAAGTGTATTTTCTGCTACGTTGCCAAGATGCTATTCACTGGAAACAATTCAAACAGCTTCTATGTAAATTTATAGAAGCACTTCATACAGTTATCATGGTCTTAATCCTGTAGGATGGAACAAGTTTCAGCTCTTGACTGCGATTAACTGCGCTGCAGACAGTCCCTGCGAGGCCAATGTGAGCTTGCGCGGGTCACGTTGGTTTATGGTAGATAAATGTGTGTGAAGTGACTTGCCCTTGGCATCGCATAGAGGCAGCAGCAGTGCTGGGCACAACTGGGGTACAGCTATTTCTGACTTGTACGCTTTTTTTTTAAGCAAACTTTGAAAAAATCAGCCTCAGTAACGAGGTCGTTAGGCTCCAGCATTTGTCGGAATTGATACAAAGGTTGCCAAAGATGTCTAGAATCCCATTCAAAAGAAATACTTGATACTTTGGAGTATGGAAATTTGGCTGTGGCCCACTTCCTAATTGCATAGGAATTGGACAACTGGAGAAATAGAAATCTTTAAGTTACAAGAAGGTGGTTGGAAGAAGTTGAAGAATCACGTGACAGAGCTGATAAAAATATATCTGTCCCTAAAAATGAATGATAGCTTAGAGGATGGTAAAAACTAAAAATCATGGAAAGTTGTAACATCCTCTGGGACTTTAAGTCAGAGCCTTACGCCTAGTGTGCAGAAAATCAGTTGAATTAGTATCTGAAGGGAAAACAATAAAGCATCAGAATGAAAGCAGCGCTAGTCTAACTGGCATGCTTTCCTACGCAGAACCACTGCGTCAAGCCTTGCTTCCCTGCGAAGACAGCCATACATTTGAGAAGTGAATAGAGGTCAGCAGGTTAAATATATTTTACCATTGATTTCCATAGACTTTGTCAAAAGCTCCTGATCATTTTTAGTCTGTCCAGGGAGCCGTCAAGTATTAAAAACAAACAAAAAAACCCAACAAAAAACCAACCAAACAAAAAAGCCAACAGAAAACCTCGGAGAAATGGGAGGAGAGGGGGGAAAAAGGGTGAGGTTTTCCACGGGGCCGGCAAGAGGTGATAAGCAGATGCCTCAAGAACGCCATGTTGTGCCGTTATTGCTGACCTCCGGCAGGGGCGGCTCCGTTGCCTGGTGCCGGATGGTACCGTGCAGCTGAGTGCTGCCAAATGCAAAGCCACGGCCATCAGACAGAAGGAATACGTAACCCCGCTCACAAGGAGTCTAAATTCAACCACGTTGCCCGAGGCAAGAGAGAGAGCTGGAGTCGGCGTGGACTGCGCGATTAATGCCTCTGCTCCGCACACAGCTTTGTAAGAGCAATTAGTAAGGGGCTGGAGAAACGGATGAAAATGTTATCCGTAAGGGATTTCGTGATGAATATCATTAGTTTACACAAGCCACATTGTTTGAAGACAAGCCACTGACTGATTAAAAAATGGTGGTTTTAATAGTAATTGTTGGGTGAACAATCCCGCATTCAGTCTCCAAAAGGGTACTGTAAAATTAAAGTGGACACAGAACAAGGTGTCAGGAAAGACGTAAAGCAACAGAGGAACTATCCTAGACAAGACTGAGTTTGTTACTTAGGAAAAAGATGAATCATAATGGAATATCTTCTCTCTACACATACAAATAGTAAAAAAGTTGGCAGCTTTCATTCTCTCTCCTTTACAACTCAGTAAGTGAAGGTTTGGTGGGACTGGGAGGGATCTAACTGGAACAGAAGGTTGACTGTTTTTGCACAGTGCCGTGGAGTTAATTTTCAGAAATCTCACAAGACTCGGAAGAATTGAAGCACTGTGCAGAGATGACTCGTTTTGACTTTTTGTGGGTCTCTGGTTGTACGCGGTCTACAATTTCCGTGTGTAGTTAGTAAGCTCTTTGGAGCAGGCTGTGCTCCACCCTGTGTTTATGTATGTCCTGATGCTTTGGGATTCTACTTCAGCCTTAGAATTTGTAGCTGGTACAACCAAACCGTGCTAATTGTTGGAGACGATGTTTGGGACCAGGTGGGTTTGCACTGGAAGCAAGAATTCTCATCTTTTTGTTTTGTTCTGAAAAATACAATGAATCTTCCCCAAAGCTGTATCGTGGCAGTGTATAGCCAGTAATGTTTTTTGGGAAACTTAAGAGTTTAGTGGAGTATTGATGCATTTCATTACTGATGCTGAATGGACTTGCTGAAATGTCTGCAGGATTCTGTGAGGGTACAAACAGCCAACATACCTAAACTAATTATTAAAAGCTGGTTTTTTCTTCTCAAGTAAAAAAGCTTAGAGGGGTTCAAAGCCGAATTCACTGCTGGGGCACCTGTTTAAGGAATTCGGGTGGAAGGGGGTGGTGAGAAGTGTTAAAGGTGCTAATGTTCCTTGTATCCATTTTTTGTACTGATTTCCCTGTTCTTTCCGCTCCCCAAAAAAGGACACCCTGTATGCATACCCCTGCGGCTCTGACCACACTCCCAGCCCTATGGCCAGCCGGGTACCCTTGGAAGCAGCCCCCCTCCTAGAGAAAACAGAGGCCCGTCTGACAGCTGTGGCAGTGAATGTGGAAGATGGCCACACCATTGCTTTTCTGGGAGACAGCAGAGGGAGACTGCACAAGGTATGATCTGGATGCGACGGGACGCAAAGAGGATAAAACTAATCGGGGATGCTCAGGTGGAAGGGGAAAAGAGGCAATTCCTCTTGTCCCTTGGGAAGTCAGGTTCCTACTAAAGATGATTGCTGTCAGATGGTCTCTTCTCACACTGTACTGACTGTTGAGAATGTGAATGCCCCAAACAGCGGTCACGTTACCTTTGGTTACATCTGCACTGTGCCAGCGTCGGGGCCGGTGCATCCTACGTGGCTTCCGCAGGTATTGCTAGGCGCATGCTTCATGTGGCTGAAGTCACTGCGTTGAGATTTTGGTGGGAGGTTGAAATCCTCGCCCACAGAAGCAGTTCCAACTTGTGCCTGATGTAGGACGGGTGCCCCCAACTCCTGCTGTGATGCTTTGCCTGCATACAACTGTGACTCTCTTGCAGGTGTACTTGGGAGCAATGGGAGATGCACATATATATGCTTCTTTAGCTATCCAGTTAAATAGCATGGTGAGTGGAGACCTGCTGTTTGACTCGCTGCAGGAGCACCTCTTTGTCATGACCCAGTCAATGGTAAGAGTAATAAAATCCCTTCCACAGAAGAGTTGAAAGCATTTGAGGTCCAGGCAAACTACTGACAGGAGCGGGGGAGGCAGAGAAACAGTGTGTATAGCTAAGCCTGTGCTGGGCAGCAGCTGCCTGCCGGTCTGGCTTACAGGGATGGGGACTGGCCTTTTGCAAAAGCTGGAGGAAGCGTGGAGGAAGTCTTGTTACCCTAAACCGTAGCCTGTTTGCATGTGCATTTCCCTAAGCGAGTCAGGCTGTATCAGCACTGATGGAGGAATGTGAACCGCAGGCTATAAAAGGCTGCTCTATTGGCATGAAGACAAGGGACTGCAAATTCCTGGGTTCCTCTGTGCTGAGCAGGAACTGTTTGGACAACAGTTTGCATCTCCATCTCAGCAGAAGAATGTGAGCCTTCTGGGTTCACAAGTAATGTGACCCGTCTTGGTTTTGCAAAAGATTAAAAAGCGAAAAGGGAGGTTTTGTGTAATTAAAACTGTGGCATTTCTCCTGTTTTTAATCAGTCAAAGGATTAAGCTGTTCTGTAGGCGTGTAACCTACAAAAAGCAGAAATGTGTGGGAAGTGTCTTCAGATAGCAGAGGTGCGCTCTGACTGGGTATATAACAACAGGCTTGCAGATGAAATCAAGCTGTATAAGGAATCATGCGAGGCACCATTCCCTCTTCTCCTGCTTTCTGTAATTCTGTCTGTGCCCAGTGGCAGCGGGAGGAGAAGAGGCACTGCGATGCCTCAAGCTCTTGGGATATTGGTGTCTGCTGAGTAGGAAATCCAGCTATGGATACTTTATTTGAGAGGATTTGTGCAACACCACTCATGTCAGCTCCTTGAGCTGGAAAGAAAGGGATCCTCCTAGCAAAGGAGAAAGCAGCCCTTGAGTTACTCTGAAGGAAAGAACAAACAACAAAGGAGAGCATGCTGGAAAACCACTGCTTCCCTTCACCCCCCCGCCCAGTGCACTTTGAGATACTCGGAAATTTTGTAACGCTTCAAAGGAGGAGTTGAAATCTGTGAGTGGAAGAAGATTAGGGAAATCTGAAATATATCCCTAACAGTAATTGTTCTGTCAATTAAAAAATGCAAATGACATCATGTACTTAGCAAAAGTAATACGTCAGGGATTAGAAGTTGGTATTTTAAAGTAACCGACAGCGTGTAGCTGAAGTGTAGTAGCGGATTAAAGAGAGGGCAAGAGGCTGAAATCAGCACGGATAGTAAGTTAAAGCAGAAGTGTTTTGCAAGTAAAACTTACCTCCGGATGGCAGAAGGTTTTTGTTCCACGTTGATCAAATCTTCTTGGTCTACTTCCAGTCAAAATGATAGTTCTGCCAGCTAGAGCTGGGCAATAGTGCAGCTGCAGTCAGAGGCCTCAGCCGGAGCTGCTGTCTCCGGCTTCAGTCACCTACATGTCAAGAGAGATGCTCTCCCATGACAGAGTCCAGAAAAGCAAAAGAGCGAATGGTATTCCGTTTGCTATTCTTTGATCCATTTTGTTAAAATATAGTTTTATCGCTAAATAAAGCCGCCTCCTTGCAAAAAGTGTCACAGACGACCTGTTGATAGCAATACACTGTGCTTGCCTCAGTGCCTCTCTACAGCCTGATGTTTAGATATCCTTCACCAATATGTGAAACGGCCATTCAGATGGGCTCTGGAAACTTGTTCCTTTTTTCTTTATTTTTATGCAATATCAGGGATTAAGAAGCTGTTTCAGTGAGCATGCAGGTGACGGGACTTGGTAGTTAGGCAGAAGAAGCTGTAGACCTGGGGCCTGTGTTGTGTGTGCTGTTTTCACCGATTTCTTTCTCTGACAGGTGGTGAAGGTTCCCATACTGGAATGTTCCCTGTACTTGGACTGTGAATCCTGCCTGGCGCTGAAAGATCCCTACTGTGGCTGGTGTGTCCTTCAGGGACGGTAAGATAGATCCCGGTTCACCTGCAAGGATTTTGGAGGGGTAGTGCTTAGGGATTGTCTCCACTTACTCTCTTCCTTATGTCTGTGTGTCTGTGCATGTCTGTGTGTCTAGATTTAGTTTATTTTTAGTTCCTTTATGGGATATTCTCTCTAACTTACCATTCCTCTGCCTGCCTCCCTAAAACACTGCCAGCAGTCGCAGTTGCACGCAAGGGTATCTTTCCATTGCTTTTTGGGTTTTTGGTCACCACTCACGATGCTCCTGTCCCATGGATTTCAGCCTGGTTTTAGTCTGCCTGCAGCTCAAACTGCCTCATTTCAAATGTAGAGAAACTATCTTACCTCTTCTTCTGGTGTCACTCTCTTATTTAGCGCTCCTTTTCAACTTCTTGCTCCCCTGCTGATGTTGCTTAATGAGACATGGTTTATTCCAGCATATCTGTCTGCTTGCTGGCTCTGTCTCCCCGTAGAACGCCATAGGAGCTAGTTTATGACCCTTTAAGCCCAAAAAGTGCCTACCCATCTATATTTTCACAACAGATCATCCTATTATTGAAGGTGGTGGGAGGCTGGGACTTCCATGGCTTGTGTAGCAGCTTCCCCAAGACTCTAGCAAGGCTTCAGACAGCCAGCGTCAGCTTGGAAGCCGAACGTGTCCTGCTGGGGCTGCGCAGATGTCTCACAGGGCTTCTTGCTGTTTCTCTGCAGGTGCAGCCGTCGCTCTGAGTGCTTGCGGTCCAGGTTGAGTGAGCAGTGGCTCTGGAGCTTTAACTCTACGCAGCAGTGTCTGTCTGTTCAGTCACTAACTCCAGCCAATATCAGCAGAGAGGAAAAGAGAAATGTGAGTGGTGACGATCCTCAGATGATGCTCAAGCATGTAGAAAGTCCCCTGCAAACGCTGAGGAGTCACAAGTCTTTCTGTTGCTTTCAGTGGGGTACTGAATCACTGAGCCTTCAAGCACATGTTGTCTGCCTCACATAAAGGGACTTAACAGCTTGGCTGTACCAGGACATAATTTCATTGTTTTTTCCCATAAAACTGAATGTCCTTGCCTACTAAGAGTTACTAGGTATTCTGGAGTATTTGATGGCTGCTTGGGTGGGGTCCCTCCTTGGCTTAGTATCTATAAGGTGCCTGTGTCTGTGGTTTCACAGTGTTTCTGACACTTGCTGTCAAGAAGAACTGAAAGGAGGTACCCAAAATTTACAGCTTCAGTCTGGCATCTGAGGGCTGGCAGAAAAGCTAAGAAGGTGCTGCTGTGTTTTGAAGTCTGTCATTGTGTCGGGAGGTGGCAAGAACCTGCCTTTTGCTAGAGACTTGGGCAAAGGGGGAAGTTGCCAATTGCTTGGTGGATGCCAAGTTCAGTTTGGGAATGGCAAGAGACGATGATGCTAGTCAGTCCTAGGAGGCATTATAGGAAAATGGGTGTATATGTAGATAGCTACTTTATGGGGCTCTTACTTTGAAAAACTAGAACCAGAAAATTAGTTGAAAAAAAGAAGAATGTGTTAGAGGGCAAATTATTTACTGGGCATTATTGAATTGGTAGATATTCCTGGCTATCTCGGACTTACCTTCTCTGCGTGAGGAAGAATTTTACTCGTGTTACTTTGAAGATTATGAAAGCCCAGCAGTTCTGACAGAGTCAGGAATCATGTGTCCTTCTCCAGATCCCAGCCAAGCACCAGCTTTGCCAACAGGAGCAGGTCAGTGAAATGCTTTAAATGGCACATGATAGGTCTGATAACGTTGTTGGGAGAAAGTACATCGTAGGTCCGTCAGATTGCCAGGATTAAGAGCCATGAATGTATGTGGTCTGTCAGCAGGTGTTCATTTCATTCTGTCACAATATCTGTTTGCTTTCTACTTGTGTCACACACATCCTGTGCTATTTTGGGCTGTTGCCAAATTCCAATGCCAAATTCTGGTAGTTGGAAAGGAGATCCTGCTTGAAGGGTTGTATGCAAATCTGAATATGATCTGAAATGCAGTCTAGAGTGATGGCTGGTTTGGCAGCTTTGTCATAAATCTGGAGAGAGAACTCTCTTAAATACTGCTTTATTATTTAAATCAAGCAAAATGCAAACCTTCTCAAAATCCATGTAGTAATGGGAGAAGGAAGTACGTGTAAGGAAAGGCAAGGAGGGACCCACAGTCCTTAAAGTTAGAAATGAATACGCAATGCGGCATAACCGCGGAAAATACAAAGTCAGCCTTCTATTACTGTGAACAATAACTGGCTGAGTATTGCTAATTGGACACTCTAAAGAACCTGGAAAGTTCTCAGTTTATAGTCTGCACGGGATTTTACCCAGCTTGTCAGTGTGAGCTCTGATGAGCTGACCTCTTCAAAGAGCTTGTTCTTCTGAAGTAAAAGGCAGGTGCCGGTTGGGAAGCATTCCACACGATTCACCTAAATGGCTAAACAGATTTTGCGTGCAAGTATGCAGCTGGCTAATAGGTCTGAAGTAATCTCCATGGACATAACATGACAGCAGAACCCAGCTAACACACTCGTTCAATCTCAAACTCCTTCATTTTCGATATTATTATATCTGTTGGCTCTCACGCTGCTTTAGTCTGGAACAAACCGACCAGGTCTCCATTCAGGGTGGTCAGGCACAGAGCGAGAGGGCTTTTCATGCACTGCCACTGCAGGCAGAGTGGGCAGGATTGGCTTCCTTCTTCAGTTCTGCAAATGTGGGCCTGAATTTAAGCACAGTTGTGAAAAATCAGTGTAGATAAAGCCGCAGTCTAGTTCTCATTATTCCAGGCTTCAGATATTCTTATTGACTCCTTTGTAAGTCAGTCTTGCTTGTATTTCAGGACTCCATAGATGCTTTGCCTATGTTATTTTCATATTGCATCTCTAAGGCTTAACAAGTTGCTTCTGTTTTCTAGGCTGAACTTGCTCATGGATGGTTTGTGTCCATTTGATCTATTTGTGTTGTCCTTTTGCTTCCACAGCTCTTCTCCCACTGAATGAACTATGGCCAGGCATTCTTAGCAGAGTTTTGCTGTTAACTTTTTCCTCATTTTCTTTTGTTATTCAGACTTCCTCTCTCCTTCACTATATTGCTAGCCCTTCTTTGTGTGGCTTCTGTGCTCTGCTAAGATGAATTTGAAGGTGGTAACCAGAATTACACACAGTTTTCTGAATGAGGTCTCATCAGGGCCTTAGATACTGGCATCCTATTCCTACCTATAATACTTTTCCCAGCTGACTAAAGTATTTGCCTTTTCTTCAGCTTTGTTTTAAAGGTTGCATACCAGCTCATCTGTCACTTTAAGCTGTTGAGCTCCAAGTTGATAGCAGAAACTCTTGCTCTCAATTTGCAAGTGCTCGACCTCATCTTCTGTACTGTTGAACAGCATTATTGGCAGTCATGGGAAATAATGGCCTTTTTGGAGAAAGGCATATTTATAAATATGGTGTCATAACCCTGAAATCCTGGGAGGTGTTAGCCTTTCCGCCACTGCCAAATGCAATCACCTCTATGACAGTGATGGCAGTTGACAGCACTGCACTGATTCCTGCCTCCAGCTGCCTATGATACCCCGATTTTCTCCTAATTGTGGGTTTTAATACGCACCTCATCATCAGCTGTTAGTACTAGTGCACTGCTTCGCTTGTCATGCTGTCAGGAACCCAGCTCAGGCCTGACTGATCCTTCACCAGACATGTTAATTGTTTTGTTGTGAATAGAGCTTGCTTGCAAGAGGAGGTCTGAATTCTGGGAGAGGAACAATGGACGAGCTTCTTGCTACTTACTTCTATAGCAAACTATCTTGGAGAAATGGCAGCTCCTGGAGTTGAGCAGGGCATGCAATATGTTCCCATTATTTGGAGAACTAATATCCAACTCCAGGGTTGGGGGCATTTGTCTGGAACAAGATTAATTTGCTGGTTTAGTACTGTCATATGCAAAATATCTCCTTCAGGCTCATGCTATCAGCTGCAGTAAGTTTTGACCATCTCTGCAGCTATTTGGTCTATCAGAAAACAGTGATAGTCTCTTCCCAAAGAGAACTGGGCTGTCCTGAGGCTTGTAGTTGACATGAGACCTGGATTTAAAGCAGATAAGCCTTCGGTCATTGCAAGTGAGATAACAAGTCTTATAAACCTCTTCACTGACTCACTTCTTAGTCTGGACATAGAACAAAGCTCTCAAGGCGAAGGCCGTATGTGAAGGGCATGTCAGTTCTAAGGGTTTGGTTTTCCTTTGGGTGACAAAGGAAGACAATCAGCTTTGAGCCTGAAATGTAATGTCTTCCTCTAATACAGAGATGACAGTGGAATTATAGCAGATAAAGATGGAGGGATCTTCAGACTAGTCTTCCTTCCCATGGGGTGGCAAGAGCTGTCATAACGACTCCTGACAAACTTGTCCAACCTGTTTTTAGCGTCCCTAGGATAATCTAGTGATTGAGATGCTAGAAGCACGGAAGGGAATCTGTCTCCCCATGTTTGACAGTGTCTTTCCTAAAGCATGCTGTGTCTCTTAACAGTACAGCAGACTTATAGTGGCTCCATTTCTAAGAAATTTTTATTTTCATTTTCAGATCATGTCACCATAAAGCTCGTAGTGCGTTTCCATGACATCTTCATTGCTTCTGTGGACTTCTCTTTCTATGACTGTGCTGCAGTGGCCCTGCTGTGGACATCAGCACCGTGAGCACCTGCTTTTTCTTGTCTGTAGTTATAGGGAGGGGGCTGTCCCGTCCGGGGTCATCTTAGCAGCTGCTTTTCTATCATTGTTCCAGGTGTCAGAAGTGTGTGAGCAGTCTCTGGGGATGTAACTGGTGCATCCAGCAGCACCTCTGCACCCACAAAGCAGCCTGTGAAGAAGGAACCATTATTTACAATGAAAGGGTGCGTCTCCTACTCAGTCCTAGTCCTATGTGCTATAACAGCCTCGGCGAGTTGCAGTGAGTTAGATCTCTTCTGAGGTAAAATAGCAGCTGTCAGTCACGTCAAGCAAGGAGGTGAGCTGTTGGAGCAAAGCCTCCCTCCCCTTGCAGCGACACAAGGCTCTGCCTCCCTGACGTTCCAAGGCCTTGCTAGGTTTCTGGGGAAGTGCCATCAGATGAAGCAGGTCGCCCTCCTCCTGGGGTTATCCAGCCTGTGTTTTCAAAGCGAGGGACAAGAGCAAGCTGGCAGGGAGGCTGCGAGTGGGGAGGTAGAACAGGTGCCCAGTTTGGGGCTGCCACAGGTGGCCTTGCAGTTTTGTGGGGGATGAAGGCAGGCAGACCTCCCTCTGAGTGGAAGTGAGTGCAGGCATCTGTGAGAAGAGGGAATGTTGCTGCATCTTCTGCACTGTGAGCATTCCCCGATCCCATCCCAAGACAAGGTAGCATGAGATGTAGCTCTCACTGAAATCCAGAGGGTGAAACAGCTTCTTGTGAACACTGCTATGGGAAGTAATACGGAGTGTTCTTCTGCTAGGGTTTTACTCTGTTCCCTTTCTTTCTCTCTTTTCACCCCACCATGTTGTTTTTCTCTAGGCCCAGATCCCAACCTCAAGTGTGTTTCCTTCTTCAGCAGCTCCCCTCACCCAGTCCTCTACCACAGCCCCAACTGTGGCCACAAAACCCATCACTCCCCCGGTGCGTGTGGTACCGAGCACTGTGCCCCCCACAGAGCCCAACCACATCACGCTCTCCGCAGCCTCAGATACAACCACTGAGCCTACAGAAACCCTCAGCTATACATACTTGACTCTCTCAACCGAAGCAGCCTCTTTCCAGGCCGTCACAGAATCCCCTCTACCACCGCCAGCAGACAAACCTGCTGTCACTGCGCCAGAGATGACAACTTCTGCTGCATCTGTCCTCACCAGCCCATCCAAAAACGTGGATCATGCAGCCTTGCCCACTGAAGGGCCAGCCACCGTCCAGGAGCCACGGCACACCGACCCACCCACCACCCTAGTGGGTAGCCCTCTGCACACATCTGCAGCAGCAGTAACACCTTCCCCTCATATCACCAGTTTCAAGTGGCCTCCGAGTTCTTTTCCTACCACAGAGGCACTGACATCTGCCATCCCATCTCCCCAAACCCCCAGCCAGGTGCCCGGAGGCCCTGATGACTCTCCCGGATTGCTGGGAACTGAACTACCTGCTTCAGAGCTCCCACCGTCAGCTCCTCCAGACTGGCTGCTGGAGGAAGGCACGGAGCTCCAGGACACAGAGGACTGGATGGATTTGCTGCAGGCTGAGAATGACACATCTCCCTTCTCTGCTTCTACTCTTCTGTCGGGTGATGGCGATTCTTCGGAGAGGGATGTCCCTGACTTTCCCAGGATTCTCCACCCTGGCCTCGACTACCAGTATGATGCCCCTGAGTTTTGGGAGGAGGTAAGTTGCTGGGCTTTGGAATTCACAGTTTAAAGCTTTGAAGTTTTCATACACATTGGTGGGTCTAGTATTTCAGCACACAGGAGAGATTGTGCCCTCTGAGAGTGTAGAAGCTGACCGCTGTAATGTGCAGAGTGAGAAGCGGCAGCCTGAGGAACAAAAATGTGTGCAAGGTTCCCAGGTCTTGTAGAAATGCTGCTGGCCTGAAGGTGGCAGCTGCTGTAATGTCCAGCATATTCACAGCTTTCTGCTGTTCACCTCTTTGGGCTCTTGCATTGCTTTCTTGTAACTTCATGGTAAAGAAGCACAGCCATGCCTTCATTCAGGCAGGGCTTGTTTCTGTGTTGGCCTGTTAGGCTTTGATTCCCTGTATCAGAGCCATGGAAGTCTCTTTCTCTAACGACCTGTGTTTGCTTCTAGAATGAAGAGCTTAGCTGGGGTCCAGGTGCATGTCCCTGTGTGCAGGGAATCCAGGGATCTTCGCTGTTTCCAGTCAACGTGGCAAGGAAGATAACCCTGCTGGGAAAGAACTTCCACCTCTATCAGGTAGTCAGCTCAATGCCATCAGCACTGAGAAATGGTATTAATGCAGAGCGCTGTTTGGGCAACCTGTCCACTGGACTGCTAAAAGTACGTGTAAGACACAGCTGTGGCTCTGCCTAGGTTTCTCCTGTTTGCAGAACCACCCAGAGGAATGACCTGCTTCTGTGAATAAAGAATTACATAGCTGGATTTATTGGTGGGTAGGAGGTCACCCAGAGAAAGGGAGAGTACAGGTGTGCACCAGCCTGCTGGAGATCATCTGCATGCGTTTGGATTAAGTTGCACCTGTGCTGCACTGTAGATGGTAGTTCCTGGAATAACGTCCTGCTGCATCTCTGCTGATTGTTTGTGTCTCCATAAGCTAAAGATAAATCATCTGTTCCCTTTCCTTTCTGGCATGCTCATGTTAATGTGGCTATTCCTGTCGTACCTGAAACTTCTCCAGTGGGGAAAACCACCCTTGAAAGCTATGTTTCTTGGGTGTGCCTCTGATAAAAAGTCTCTTTGCTTCTCAAGACAGAAACTGATTTAGTAACTTTTTACAAACAACCGCCTCGGAACACGCAGCCCACAGACTAATTGTTACTTTATATGTTAAACCTGATATACTGCACTGCTCAGAGGAGCAGAGCTGGTTACAGATGCGTATCCATCTTTTCTACAGGAAGCGTCTAAGCAATTCAGAGGGGGATTTACAGGAGAGAGAAAAGAAAAATACACTTAGTGTTTTTTGGGGTGCCCTGCCCAAATCTGTGTACTCCGCTCTTCATTTCCAAGCTAGTGTTTCACAGAGACAACAGGCATAACTTCACAGTCCCACTGGTTTTGCTTTAATTCCTCCTCCTGTGCTGAGTTCTCCCCGCACTGACGTACACGTGCTCCCTTCTAGGTGTTTTGTTTTGTGTTGGTTTGCCTTTCATACATGGAGGCAGTGAGAGCATAGAGAGCCCTTGAATATAGCATAGAGTTAGCATAACGAAGGGAATGAGAGGAGCATGCCGCTTGCACAGTAAGCGGCTTGGTAAAAGGTACTGAATTGGAGAGGCAGGAGTACGCTGTCGCGTAGCAGGAGGCTCCATGAAGTTGGGAAATGGTGCCACGTGTATCTTCTCTGCAGGACCAGCAGTGGGACTATGAGTGTGTCCTGAATTTGGAGGGGAGGACAGTGGTGATGGATGCTTATGTGGAAGGAGAAGAAACAAACCAGTCCATCTGTTATATCACCTGCCAGATGAACCAGGTGAGCGCGTGCAATACAATGCCATTTCAGAGTTCACACTGGTGCTGGTTTTGCTCAGCAAAACAGCAGGCTGGAAGGCAAGCTCTTTGGGGAAAAGAGCATATTCTGCAAAGATATTTGTAGAATATTTAGTGCTATGGGGCCCTCATCTGTGATGCTGCTGTCTGGTGGTGCTGGTGTCTTCAACTTGCGGGAAGTTTGTGCAGTCTGAGCCACACAACCTGTTGCTGCGTTTGCTGTAGCACGGGATGATGCCATCTCTGAATCACCACTCATTGCAACTTGCCAGGACGGCGCCGCTTCTGCTTTAGCTTGAGGCACTGTTGTTCATGGTTCTCTGGATCGTGACTTTTGTGATGGTCGTTCTTTTATGAAAAGAAAAATGCTATTAATACCAATTTTGTTCTTAGTGGTGGAAGCTAGCCTGTGGATTGTAAGATTAACAGGGAAAATTACAACAGTCATGTACATTTCTGGATGATGTGTGGATTTTACTTAGGGCAAGATTTGAAAGCAGAGGTGATATTTTTTTAGTTCACAAACTCATATAGTTAAGGGAGAGGAACAACATAGGCTCTTGTGCATACGAGCCCTGCGGACCAATTGTCATCCTACATCTTCAGCTCTACTGAAATTGCAGAAATGCCAGCTTGAGCAGTTTTCTGAGCAGGTGGTTTGTAGATAGGACTTAGCCATTTAGGAATGCAGTTAAGAAGTTAGACAAGTATTGTTGTGAGCACACATTTGTTTTCAGTGTTCATCCTAGTGAACCAATGCTACTCTTCCTAGAGCAGAATTGTGACTGCGCAAACCAGCGAGGACAGGCCTGTGCTGCCACTGCCCCAGCTAATGCTGCCTTGTCCGCATTCACACAAAGCTCCATATACGCTGTGTGTGCCGGTGCACTATGCAGGATGGATGCTGATGATTTTTGCCGCTCAGCTGGCTTGTTTGTGCCTCTAAGTCCTTTGTCTTGATGGTCTTTTGTCTTTGCAGTACAGTTACACAGCGCCTCAACTCGAATTCAACGCTGTGGTGTTTGTGCAGAGGCGACGACACCTTCGAGTGGACAGTGCTGCAGATCTTCACGGTAGGAGTGCAACGCCTCCCCAGCAAAAAGACAGCAGATGAGGTGGAAGAGAATTGAGAAATCCTCCAATGAGGCTTTTTGCATCTGTAGTAGCCCTATCACAGGGAAACTAAGGAAAACATACAGCCTCATTTCTGTTGCTTGTCACAGGGGAGGGAGGAGGAGAGGTTTCTGTGCAAGATGCCAAGCTGCTGGATTGTTCTGTGCCCTAGGGGATGTTTGCAGATGCCTGTGAATTTGTCTCCTTTGCAGTGACTTTTTACAACTGCTCTGTGGGACACACTGATTGTAGCCGCTGCCAAACAGCTGACTCAAAGTACAACTGTGTGTGGTGTGGAGGTGACAACCCCAGCTGTATCTTCAGGGGCTCTTGCAAGGAAGAGATAGAAGACCTGTGTCCAGCGCCTCTCATTCACTCTGTGAGTAACTTGTTCGCTAGCGTACTGCACCCAGGGCAAGGAGGGCTCCATTCTCCAGTTGAAATCAAAGGGCTGCGAACTCAGAGTGCGAACAGTGCAGCCCAATAATACATTGGCCATCTGAAGAGCAAGTTAGTCCTATTCTACTGTGATCTCTTGGTGTCGTGAGGATGCTAGCCTTTTGTGCTGGGGTTTCAGTTTGCTGATAGAAAACAGTGGGGAAAGATGCGTTTGTATCTCATGCGAGCTGAAACTGGCACGCCAGGAGGAGCAGAATCATTCAGGAGCTGGGAAAGGGTCCACAGATTGGATCCTCCAACCGTCCCGAGCCAGACCCTGAAATAGGTTGGCCCAACTGAGCCTGGGGCAAAGGAGGGCAAAACCTAATGATAATGGCACAGCAAGGATGGGAAAGGCATGACAGATTACTGGGATTAATTATTTTTGTCTGTTTATTTTAAATGTTTCTTGCTAACTGCCACATGACAAGTGTCTGTAGCCATGTGTCCCTTTTGCTGTCAGCTTGTCCTCCCTCTGGTGGCACAGAACATCCATGTGCTGCATTTTGTCTTAGTTTATCTTGGATGCTGCTCAGGGACAGAGCTTTGACGTTTGTGCAGCATGCAATTCATTGTCGTACTGATGCTGAGGGGGGAATGGTGCTTGCTGCTTCAATACTAGTAACGTGTATTGGCTTGTGCATTCCCACTCTTCAGCAGAAATGCCCTGTGGAGTGGTCAGCATGCTGATGAGAAGGCAAAGCAGGGCAGTCCTTGCCTTAGAAGTCTATAGTGGATTATCACCTCTGGGGGGGACTGCTGGCAACAGTGAGGTATGGGAAAGAAGGCTCCGACTGTGGTGTTCTGTATGGCCTTTCTTCTGATGAGGGTGCAGCCTGGTACTAGTCTAAGCCAGTAAAAGGAATCCATAGCAGTGACCCGACCAGGCAGAGTTTGTAATGGGGCAGTTGAAGGGCCCTGTGCTGTAGACCAGTTGCCAGACTGCAGAGGTCTGAGATACTGTGACATTTACACATGCGCGGATGTCTTTGCAGGTGTACCCCCTGTCTGGACCAGTGGAAGGTGGCACTAGAATCACCATCACTGGCTCAAACCTCGGGCAGAAACATCAAGACATTGCAGAAACTGTCACTGTTGCAGGAATTCCCTGTGCCGTAGATGCTCAAGAGTATGAGATCTCTAGCAGGTAGAGTATCTGTGAAACCTCCTCCCAGAGGCAGGCGCTGGCTTTTCCCGTGGCTGCTGACACCAGCCTGAGATGTCATTGCCTTTGCTGTAGCAGGTATTGAGCCTTGCCCGTTCCCCAGGGAGTGCCCCTGAGTAGGGTCGCTGATTAGTCACTCAGGCAGCGACCTTAGAGAGATAAGGTTGTGTACAAGGCGATGGCCAAACAGTGCTGCCGTATGCCGACCACGCTGCCAGTACAGAGCCCGCAGGCCAGCCAGATCAGGGAGTCACAGGCTCAGAACCATGCGGTTTTGTGGGTGTCTCTCCCAGCCAGAGGGTGATTTCAATAAAGCAAAGGACATGGCTTGTGCAAGTGTCACTGCTAGGAAAATATCCCAACCATGTTAGCACAGGGTGAGGATGGGAACACGTGGTTGGAGGTACGGCACAGGTTCTTGCCTCTGCTTGAGTGGGCACACCCCTAGATTGTCGTTCTTCACTTGCCAGCCAGACTTCCACTTCCCAGGAACAAACCCAGTGCAAGGACCCTCTCAACCAGGGACAGACCAGGGAGTCCTGGTGGGCACTATGCCACCATTCTGGTGGCTAGGAGTGCCTGGCAGGTCACACAATGCTTATAAAAGTAGTGCCTAGGAGGGGGATGAGAAGCAGAAAGGCCTGTCC